TGAATGAATGGTATTGCTCATTTTCTTTCAAGAATCAAGTATGCTGTTAGGGTTGAGAATATGAGATAAAATATATTATTTTACAAAAGAAAAATCAATTATTCCTCTAGGATGTTCTAGGGGGTTATGGAAATGAATTAAAACTATAAGATGACAAGTTGTTTTTTCTTCCAGGTTTGTTAAGTTCAATCCACTTGGGACCAAACTTATAACAGGCATCTCAAACCTCCCAGTTGACAGTTTTCGTTCTCATATCATGGACTCAGTACTTAGTCAAAACAACTCTCCATCTTTCTCACAGAACTCTACATCACAGAGACGTAGCATTTTGACACGACTAATGACCATGTATCGTCATTTAGAAGGCTTAGAAGAGGTAAGAAAGACATTGGTTATGAATTTCTTTAAGTGTATTTAGATTTTGAATTTTTTTTATGAGGTGTTCACAAATAAATTATTATTATTCATTAAGTTATGAAATAAATATGTAGTTCATGAATAGAATTATTGATTCACAACATTCATCCCTGAATGTCTTGATTATAAAATATCATTTTTATAGCAATTTGAAATCAGGTTAAAATAATAATTTCTTTGTCATAAATCATTTCCAAAATTAGAAGAAAACATGAATTACACCAAAAATTTTTTGATTAGTGAGCTGGAATTATTTTTTTAGGATATTTTGATTTTATGCTCAAGTTCTTTGTTTGTGCCTTATTTTGAAAAATTGTAAAATACAGTAAACATAAAATCTATAAAAAAAATATATATATACCATGATAAATATTTCATGACTGGTAATGGGAGTAGACACATTTGTAGTGAATATGAGGTATTATTCCTCATAAAAGCGATTAAAAGCTAATACAGTTGGTATGATTTGATTGCTTTTTAACTCTTTCAGCATGAGCTCGGTCCCTGGGACTGACCTCCTAACCAATTTGTCCTTGTTATAGTTTTGTGCTATAACTTTTAAATTAGTAAGCATATGTTAATGAAATTTGGCAGATTATCAGTAATCATTACAGTGCTTTCATATGCAAAATATCAAATTTTTTTTTATTCAGTCTTAAGGTTTGTTAAGCTATGTTTTTCTCATGTCTTTCTTTTCAAATGTTGCCTATCCAACATCCAGAGTAATTTCCATTTTAAGATTAAAAATACTTTTATGCATCAGAAAGTTTTCAGATTTCACATGCAAAATCTTTATAATGTCCAGATAGTTGTCAAATGTTTTTTAAGAAAACTTTATATTTTATCTGTTATCTAATCTACAGTTTGATACCAAATTTATTGGCATAAATTCATGAAATAG